GACGGACGACAGACACCGCACAATGGAGTAGGTGCATCTGCCCTTTGGGCAGGTGAGCTTATAAAATATTTCCATGATTTGTTTTTTTCACTTTTACTACTTTTTATTAAAGGATCATTAATGACTGTAATGAAAGATTTCTTGTGAGGGGCACACGTTACTAACATACCTCTAAGGGTTACCTGTTACTTATATACCTCTAAGGGGCACACATTACTTATATACCTCTAAGGGACACACGTTACTAATATACCTCTAAGGGGCACCTGTTACTAATATACCTCTAAGGGGCACCTGTTACTAATATACCTCTAAGGGGCACCCTTTACTAATATACCTCTAAGGGGTACCTGTTACTAATATACCTCTAAGGCACACACATTACTAATATACCTCTAAGGGGCACCTGTTATTAATAATCTCTAAGGGGCACCTGTTACTTATAAACCTCTAAGGCGCACACGTTACTAATATACCTCTAAGGGGCACCTGTTACTTATATACCTCTAAGGAGCACCCGTTACTAATATACCTCTAAGGGGCACCCGTTATTACTATATCTCTAAGGGGCATCCGTTACTTATATACCTCTAAGGGGCACCTGTTACTAATATATCTCTAAGGGGCACCCGTTACTAATAAACCCCCAAGGGGCACCCGTCACTAATATACCTCTAATGGGCAGACGTTACTTATATACCTCTAAGCGACACACATTACTTATATACCTTTAAGGGGCACATGTTACTAATATACCTCTAAGTGGCATCCTTTACTAATATACCTCTAAGGGGCACCTGTTACTAATATACCTTTAAGGGGCACCCATTACTAATAAACCCCCAAGGGGCACACATTACTTATGTACCTCTTAGGGGCACACGTTACTTATATACCTCTAAGGGGCACCTGTTACTAATATACCTCTAAGGGGCACCTGTTACTAATATACCTCTAAGGGGCACCTGTTATTAATATATTTCTAAGGGGCACCCGTTACTTATATACCTCTAAGTGGCACCCATTACTAATATACCTCTAAGGGGCACCTGTTACTTATATACCTCTAAGGGGCACCCGTTACTAATATACCTCTAAGGGGCACCCGTTACTAAAATACCTCTAAGGGGTACCTGCTACTAACATACCTCTAAGGGTTACCCGTTACTAATATACCTCTAAGGGGCACCCTTTATTAATATACCTCTAAGGGGCATCTGTTACTAATACACTTTTAAGGGGCACCCGTTACTAACATACCTCTAAGGGGCACCCGTTACTAATATACCTTTAAGGGGCACACGTTACTAACATACCTCTAAGGGGTACCCGTTACTAATATACCTCTAAGGGGCACCCATTACTAATATACCTCTAAGGGGCACCCGTTACTAATATACCTTTAAGGGGCTCCCTTTACTTATATACCTCTTAGTGGCACCCGTTACTAATATACCTCTAAGGGGCACCCATTACTAATATACCTCTAAGGGGCACCCATTACTAATATACCTCTTAGTGGCACCCGTTACTAATATACCTTTAAGGGGCTCCCTTTACATATATACCTCTAAGGGGCACCCGTTACTAATATAACTTTCCAAAGACAATTACATTACCATGATGACTGATCTATCTTTCAATCCAAAATTTCTGATATTGTACCAATTCTATCAAATTACATTATGCTTACTGCATTGTGTTACAACCAGGATTGCTTTCATCGCAAACAGGTATTAATATTTCCTTGAAGTAAATATTACATTTATGAACAGCCATTGATAGATTAATTATTTATTCCAATGTATTTAGAGAATTATCAAAGGTTTCCATGGAAACTGTCCTATATTTGGTGACACAATTACCATGTACTATCTGCTATATTGTAAAGAAGCTGCTGTGTGTCATAAACAGAGGCAGATGTATGCATGGCCACTCACTAAAGAGACTGAAACTAGTTCTGATCTATCCCCAGAATAAGCTTGACTGTCAGAATTTCCTGTGCCTAATCTGATATAAGATAAAATAGGATCATAGGAAAATTATCATCTTCAATATAGCATGCATTGAAACTCATGTTACTGAATCCAAAATGACCAAATGGAGACAGAAATCTGAAACCATTTGAAAATTTTAAAACTTTCAATAAACTCGCAATGCCATGAACCGTGATTCTGGAATGTAATTATCAAATAACACAATGCACTGTTATCTTATATACCGGCAGAATATAAAGTTTTTGTTTCTGTCGTTGTCAGTTCATTTATACATCTGAGTCTCTAGTGCACCTAGTAACAACAGAAGTAAATAATTCAATTACATTTTATATAAATTTCTTTACTTGCACCTTAACCAAACTTATCACAAAGCTATGTGTGCCTGCACATGTACACAGTCCTAGTACTCTGTGTTATATCACCAGCCTGTACACAGTCCTGGTAATCTGTGGTATATCACCAGCCTGTACACAGTCTTAGTACTGTGTGTTATATCACCAGCCTGTACACAGTCTTAGTACTCTGTGTTATATCACCAGCCTGCACAGTCCTCGTACTCTGTGTTATATCACCAGCCTGTACACCGTCCTCGTACTCTGTGTTATATCACCAGCCTGTACACAGTCCTAGTACTCTGTGCTATATCACCAGCCTGTACACAGTCTTAGTACTGTGTGTTATATCACCAGCCTGTACACAGTCCTAGTACTGTGTGTTATATCACCAGCCTGTACACAGTCCTAGTACTCTGTGTTATATCACCAGCCTGTACACAGTCCTAGTACTGTGTGTTATATCACCAGCCTGTACACAGTCCTAGTACTGTGTGTTATATCACCAGCCTGTACACAGTCCTAGTACTGTGTGTTATATCACCAGCCTGTACACAGTCCTAGTACTGTGTGTTATATCACCAGCCTGTACACAGTCCTAGTACTGTGTGTTATATCACCAGCCTGTACACAGTCCTAGTACTGTGTGTTATATCACCAGCCTGTACACAGTCCTAGTACTGTGTGTTATATCACCAGCCTGTACACAGTCCTAGTACTGTGTGTTATATCACCAGCCTGTACACAGTCCTAGTACTGTGTGTTATATCACCAGCCTGTACACAGTCCTAGTACTGTGTGTTATATCACCAGCCTGTACACAGTCCTAGTACTGTGTGTTATATCACCAGCCTGTACACAGTCCTAGTACTGTGTGTTATATCACCAGCCTGTACACAGTCCTAGTACTGTGTGTTATATCACCAGCCTGTACACAGTCCTAGTACTGTGTGTTATATCACCAGCCTGTACACAGTCCTAGTACTGTGTGTTATATCACCAGCCTGTACACAGTCCTAGTACTGTGTGTTATATCACCAGCCTGTACACAGTCCTAGTACTGTGTGTTATATCACCAGCCTGTACACAGTCCTCGTACTCTGTGTTATATCACCAGCCTGTACACAGTCCTAGTACTGTGTGTTACATCACCAGCCTGTACACAGTCCTAGTACTCTGTGTTATATCACCAGCCTGTACACAGTCCTAGTACTGTGTGTTATATCACCAGCCTGTACACAGTCCTAGTACTCTGTGTTATATCACCAGCCTGTACACAGTCCTAGTACTGTGTGTTATATCACCAGCCTGTACACAGTCCTAGTACTGTGTGTTATATCACCAGCCTGTACACAGTCCTAGTACTGTGTGTTATATCACCAGCCTGTACACAGTCCTAGTACTGTGTGTTATATCACCAGCCTGTACACAGTCCTAGTACTGTGTGTTATATCACCAGCCTGTACACAGTCCTAGTACTGTGTGTTATATCACCAGCCTGTACACAGTCCTAGTACTGTGTGTTATATCACCAGCCTGTACACAGTCCTAGTACTGTGTGTTATATCACCAGCCTGTACACAGTCCTAGTACTGTGTGTTATATCACCAGCCTGTACACAGTCCTAGTACTGTGTGTTATATCACCAGCCTGTACACAGTCCTAGTACTGTGTGTTATATCACCAGCCTGTACACAGTCCTAGTACTGTGTGTTATATCACCAGCCTGTACACAGTCCTCGTACTGTGTGTTATATCACCAGCCTGTACACAGTCCTAGTACTCTGTGCTATATCACCAGCCTGTACACAGTCCTAGTACTGTGTGTTATATCACCAGCCTGTACACAGTCCTAGTACTGTGTGTTACATCACCAGCCTGTACACAGTCTTAGTACCCTGTGCTATATCACCAGCCTGTACACAGTCTTAGTACTGTGTGTTACATCACCAGCCTGTACACAGTCTTAGTACTCTGTGCTATATCACCAGCCTGTACACAGTCCAAGTACTGTGTGTTATATCACCAGCCTGTACACAGTCCTAGTACTGTGTGTTACATCACCAGCCTGTACAACCAGTCTGTACTACACAGTTCTAGTCGTCTTTGTTTTATCACCAGCTTTGAGCTACCTGGTCAACAAAAGTTTCCTGGTCCAAATGTGCAACTGTTTTATCTGAATGAAAGTTTAGGGGAGATTACTTTGCCGAAAGATTCTAAAGAACAAGTTTGGTTTAAATCCTTCCATTGGTACAAAAGGATTTCTATTTGGCCCCCTCCCCCCCCCCCCCTCTGCCCCAAGGGGGTCACATCCTCTGTTTATAAAATTGAATTCCCTTTGCCAAAAGATGCTCTAGTACAAATTCAGTCCATATCCCTCCATTCGTTGGGAAGGAAAGGGGGGGGGGGGGGGGGGGGGAACATTCCCTTTGTTTCATACAAAATTGAGAACTGTCACTTTCTCTCCACTCAATCTTTTTCCTTCTCTTCCTCCATTTTTATCTGTATTTCTCTTCCCTGTCTCTTTCTACTCACTCCATAAATCTACTTCTCTCTCTCCATCTCTTTCTGCCAGTGTCTATGATCTCTGCCAACCGGATAAAAAAAAAATACAGTTTATATATAAAAAGTAAAATTGAAATTTTCCTATAAACGTTTGTGTGGATCTTACCTCCTTTGAATGAAGAGGTGCAAGACTTCCATTTGGCATGTTTGCGTGGGGAGCACCGGAGGGGGAGTTAGGGCCCGAGTCAGAGTTACTGCTACAGTCAACTGTAAACATAAATAAAGCACAGGTAAGTATCAACAATCTCTACTCAGGTAAATCTCAATTACAGTAAATTCTTACTAAGCAACTGTGTTCTTCAATTCTAAAAACCAGCAGGTAGTTTCAAATTAAAACTGCATTTACATGGTTATCTTTAAATTATTGATTTGAATAGATTTTAACTATTTCAAGATGGAAACAAGTCTGGTGCTGGTAATTAAGTGTTAACAAAAGTGTTTCACTGACTACCTCTAAGTTTTACATTGGGGCAGATACATATCCCTCTTAGTGGCACCCAGAGCACATAGGCATATCAAACAACACCTCATCAGAAGGTAATACTTCATGAATATCATAACATCAAATTTTACACATATCATAACATCAAATTTTACACATATCATAACATCAAATTTTACACATATCATAACATCAAATTTTTGTGATGCTATTTTACCAGCTAAGGTTAAATCAAATGGACAGGTATATCCCACTCAGTGTAATGTAGTGTGATATTATGTCATAAGGAGGTAATAATGTTTGTATATCATAACATGAATTTCTATCAGGACATCTCTGACACAGCTAAAGAACACACTGAATCATTGGTTGTGTAACAGTTGATGAATTCCTGTCAATATTCTGAGAGACGGAATAAGAAGAGCCAAAGGTGTTTTTTTAAACAGTTTTGTAGTCATCAATATAAATGATATTGTATATTCCGATCTATTTTTTATGACTTGTATTTTGTAAAAATGTATTGTTATGACACAAGCTTTGTTTGAACATTTTACTCTTGGAGTGGCAACATGTTTGTGTCCTTCGCTTTCCAAGTTCAATTCTAAGTGATCTAAATATAGGAGTTTAATGTAGACATTATTTGGACGTTTCCTATTTCATCTTGTGCCTTTGTCACATTATGCTGTGTTACCATGGAAACATCAAACCAAATGTAGGCAGCATTAAGGATTGAAAAGATTCTATAAAAATTGTGTCTATATATAGCGCAAGCAGTCACGACATGAAACAACAATATTGATTGGCTTACAACAGTCCACAGTCAGGCCTGGCTTGGAGGCCAGGAGACAGGGCTACTTACAAGGGCTGCAACCTATCCAATCATCTTGGTGACATTTGAAAAATCATTTTACCAAAACTACTCCTAGGCTAGAGTTTCAGTAAACAACTCTTGATGTCAAACAAGTGCAGCCAGTATGAAATACATAGGTTTAAACTTGCTGAAACATTGTCTTATAATAGTGTGAACTACATAGGCTTAAACTTGTTAAAACATGGTCTTGTAATAGTGTGAAATACATAGGCTTAAACCTGCTAAAACATGATATTATTATTGTAGTGTGAAACTTGCTGAAACATTCTCCTATTATAGTGTGAAATACATAAGTTTAAACTTGCTAAAACATTGTCTTATTATATTGTGAAATACATAGGCTTATAAACTTGCCAGAACATTGTCTTATAATAGTGTGAAATATATATATATATAAGTTTAAACTTGCTAAAACATGTTGTCTTATTCTATACTTATATATATATATATTCACTGACATAATCATTTCTTGCAAAATTCTATAATATAACCTATAATATCTTTGAAAGTTTCAGACCAACTTTAAATATGCCTATGATAATGATTTTCTTAAAACACTTCCAACAAAATTTTAACTAATATACTTTAATCTAAAAGATTTTGTAACTCTGTAGTTCATAAATAATTAAAAATCATAAATTGTAATCTCAATTAAAACAGGGCAAGTAAAATTTGAATCTAACTGAAGCTATTTTGTCAAATCAAAGAAAGGCTTTTTATTTATTTGAAGCATTTCAGAAATTCATCATGGCTGTCATATCAAAGTAATTTTTCAAATAAAATTCTATTATTTCTTTGAAAATTTACATTTAATGAATTCTAAATAGTTGCCAAATGATACATCAAGGGAGACATTCTTCTTCTCTCACAAGTTCTCAAAGTGTTCATATACCCTAGTAAACACATTTTTTTTTTTTTTTATCTATAAATATTTCTGTTTGACATGCGCTATTGAGAGTCATGCTAAATCAACCAGCAAAAGCATGACCACTCGATCATAAATGGCTTTGGTGCCTGAATTCTACATCCTGGTATAATATTTTCTATGTATCTTGGTATAATATTTTCTATTTATCCTGGTAAAATATTTTCTGTATATCCTGGTATAAATTTTCTGTATATCCTGGTATAATAATTTCTGTTTATCCTGTTATAATAATTTCTGTCTATCCTGGTATAATAATTTCTGTATATCCTGGTATAATATTTTCTGGGTATCCTGGTATAATATTCTGTGTATTCTGGTACAATATTTTTTGCGAATTCTGGTAAAAAAACCATTGTGCATTCAGGAATAATATTTTTTGTGAATTCTGATATAATATGCAAGTTAGATAATATAAACATGTAGATAATAGATAAACATGCAATCATATTTGCATGGACACATCAAACAATGACAGGCAACATTATTATATGAATCACAGGTTTTAATGATTTATAACACAAACAGATTAGATTATTATACTGTTAATAGACTTTTAATGTTAATACAAAATGTTAAATTAACAATCTGGAGCTGTTCAAAAACGGGGAAATATTTCTGACAATTTTTTGTTGAAACAACATAAGACAAATAAAAAACACATTTGATATAATAAATGAAGTTTTTTCTTTTATTTCTTTAAAAATTATTTCAATTTTTCGTTCATTGATTTTGACCAGTCTTTGAACAGAACTCCTGTAAATCAAAACTACATCCCACAAGGCATTCACTAGGCAGCCATTCAGCAATGAAATTATCGTGCAAGACCATACAATTTAACATTCAATAATTCTATGTCAATACCAGTATATTTGTTCAGGTTTTTTAGAAAACAACTACTGCTGGCCCCACCCCCACACTCCCTCCACTTCTCCATTACCTCGTAATGGACTCCAGAGCAAAACATGTTTTTGGGGTCAAAATTACAAAAAATACATTCCTGGGACATACCATTTTATCATTCAGTTCTAAAATAACCACTTTAATTTTATAAATACCAGATCAGGAAAATGGAAAAGAAGAGACATTAGGTTGGAAAACAATGCTTGTCAATATATTACAGAACATTACATTACGTAACTATAGCAATTTGATACATAGGAACAATTTAGCTGTGATGTCAATTTATAATGAAATCAATGAAAACTTAATTAAACTTTTCCCAAACAATGAATGTCTCTTTTGAAATTGATTGAAGATTTTTTCACATATGCAAAACTTCCAATCCTGTTTATGCAATAGGGAAAATTAAATGGATTTGTCATTATTAGAATACTGAGTTTATGAAATATATAGCTGACAACATGCACAGAAATGTTTACAAAACAGGTCCATACAAAAATGCAAGAAAAATGCATCTATATGGGTCTTTTGGGTATTGCCCCATTTAAAGTCATAATTAAACTGTTACCTTAGTAAGAGAGGACATTATGACATCATTTAGGTAACCAACAGATTTAATGATAAATGAAAATATAACACTTCCTATTAAAAAGGAGTTTCTGGGTATTTCTGATAAATAAAATAAGTGTTTTTCTAGTTTTGTTTAATTTTGTTTTTAAAAAATCTGATAGATGTAACAATGAATTTTATTGATGGATGAAGGAAGAAAGGCAGTGGGGAGACTGGCATACATACTTGATAATGGAGTTTTACGTTTGAGATAAGCTTGTCCCAGTTTTTCCTTCCTTCGGAGAATCGGGCTGTGAGTAATTCTCCGTTGGCTTTCCAATTTCTGCTTCAGAGCAGAGCGCACTTTAAGATTTGGTTCAGAGGCTGAAAACAAGAATACATGAGGGTAAAACCTGTGTATCCAGACATCCTTTCTGATCCAAAATTAGTCTATGACAGAAACTCGTTTCAGTCGATATCATGATGAAACTTTTGCTATCCTGTAGCATCTCCAATATCAGACTATATCCACATATGTGTTGCTTTCAGCCCAAATCAGCTTGTTCAATAACTTTGAGACTTGGAAGAGAATTGTCAGTGGATATTTTGAAAACTATGCTCAAAGTGAGCTTTTAACACAATAATTGAACAAGTGATTCATTGTTGAATGGTACTCGTAACTAGAGGCTACTTTTCAATGCTAAAAAAAAGGTTGAGAATAAATCTGAAATATGCTCCAATATCAAAGCATGGTTTGCTTTACAGATAAAATGTACAACCAAAACAGATAAATGCAGATTTGTGCAGCATCAAAGGCACCTTTGCTGTCACATTGAGAAATGTTTTTAGGTGGGTGAACAAATTCAATAATGTTAAAGTTGACATCAAAGAGGACACATAGCCAGGCAGGCCGGCCATCAAAGAAGAACAATGCTGCTGTAAAAACAGTAATTAAGGATGATGGTCATTGTTTCTGATAGAGCCCTATGGATGGCAGAAGGCAGTACATATCACATTCTGAGGCCCATTGCTCACCTGGTATTAATCTCACACTTGCAACCTTAAAAGTAGACTAAAATAAAGCTGACGCAATGGAAGTCAAGGTCATTCATGGGCGGATTGTTTGAGTGGTTAACACTCATGGCCTTCCATGCAGGCGGCTGGGGTTCGATCCCCAAAGTCGTCATACGCATGGAATATTCAGAGAAAGTGTTTTTCTCCTGCCCACACAAACCAAACAACCGAGATGGAGTATAAATTGGTTTGGGGTGGATGTTGCGGTATCTGTGCTGTAGCGTTCAAGTGAGGTGGCACTATAAATGCTACCGTTGGAAGCACAGTCCCACTACAAACAGAACACATTACATCTCCAGCACACACGCAGGCATACACATATAGGGAGATATTATCCAGGTGGCATAGGACTAGTAGTTAGCACCTGATTAGGCAGCTCCTGCAAATTCCTCAAAATGGTATTGATTATTATATATGCTAATTGTATATCTATGTATTGTAAAGCGCTTTACAGTGGCTTATGTTAGCTAGATAGGGCTCTATATCAAATGTTGTATATTTTCATTTATTATTATTCATTTGAATAAACTTAGTAGACCTTCATCAAAGCATGTTATTTGTCAAAAATCATCCCTGGTCTTTTGGTTATTCAGAAGATGTCATTTAAAGGGTTTAAATATATTTAACCCCATATGACCTCAAATATAGGTCAAGGTCATTCATTTTACCAAACTTGGTAGCCCTTCATCAAAGCATGCTACTGGCCAAATATCATCACTCTGGTCCTGTTGTTTTTTCAGAAGAATGTGTTTAAAGGTTTTTATGACAATAGACCCCTGTGACCTTGAATATGGGTGAAGGTCATTCATTTAAACAAATGAAGTAGCTCTTCATGTTTTACATATATTCCGCTTTGATCACAGTTAATTAGATAAGACGCCAATGGGCCTTGAAGATGACCTTGGATACAAAAAAAATATGATTTGTTGTTGTGATGTATCAAAAAACACAAAAACACCTTCGGACCTTTTGATCCATGACGAGGATTTGATTCTAACATATCAGCCCCATCCCTTAGACCCCCAGGGGTGATTCAGGGTCTTAATTTCCATACCATCAAATTGCAATCGCATGCTGATAATTCCAACCAAGTTTGAATTATATCCCACAAAAAATAAACAAAATATACCCTAAAGCGTTATTTCTCTATATAATACCAGGGGGGATAGGGTGACCCAGGGTAATGAAATACTCGGGTTTGATAAAGCTCTTAGGACCATTCCATCCATTAAGAGTATTTGATTCCAGCATACTTGGGTCTGGAGAAGAAGATTATTGAAATTTGTGCCAATCTGAACCCTTTTGACCTCTCAGGCCCCTGAGGGTTAGATCAGTATAAGTCACCTATTTAGTTTGGCTATGACTATGGAACTGTCCTGCAAAATTTTATTGAAATTGGTTCAGTGGTGTTTGAGAAGTAGTAAAAGTTTATGAATAACGCACACCGTACGACGACGGATAAAGATGGCAATAGCTCACATGAGCAAGTTGTTTAAAGATTTCAACATTTTTGACCCCTTTGACCTTGAATATAGTGAAGATCATTCATATTAACAGACTTGGTAGCCCTTCATTCCAGCATGCTACTGGCCTAATATGATCAGAATTTTCAAAAGAAGACGTTTAAAGTAACAAGATCACAGAGGGATCTTGGTGCCAACCATTGTACCATCTTCATTAGTTCTTTGTCAGTTTGATCTTTTCTCTTCTTTTCTCTTATCTGTGTGATCGAGTCATGTTAACAGTAAATGCACTTTCGATCTAAACTTCAAACTGCTACGTATAAAAGGCAACCTTTAATGTTAGTTTGTAATTTCACATATTTACTAGTACAGAACTTAATATGAAAGAAATAGAACCAATCATTGCAATATGGGAAAGATTTGTTAATCTCTCTCTGCGGTCATCTTGTATTTATGATCACTCTCAAAATAAAACATGTACAACTAAGGGCCAAGAGAATTAGCAATAACAAACTTTAACTGTCAAAATCCAAGATGGCCACCTGTCATCCATTTTATTTATTCTGTCGGTCACAAAAGTTAACACTCAAAACGAAAGACCAAGGGAAAGCTACATATCATATTTGTGATACCTGCAGCACTACCTTAGAAATAGCAATAACAAATAAACTGTCAAAATCCAAGATGGCCATCTGTTGGCCATTTTGTTTATCCAATCAGTCTCAAAAGTACACATGTACAACTACAGACCAACAGACCAAGGGTAAACTACATATCAAATTTGAGAAAGATCCCAAAAGTTCTTCCTGAGAAATAGCTATAACAAGCATTCACTGTCAAAATCCAAGATGACTGCCTGCCAGCCACTTTAATTATCTGATAAGTCTCAAAAGCTAAAATGTACAACTACAGACCAAGGGAAACCTGCATGTGAAATTTGAGAAAGATCCCTCCAGTAATTTCTGAGAAAGTCCCAAAATTTGATATGCATAACTAGGGACCATGGGGAACCTGCATGGGAAATTTAAGAAAGATTTTGGAAATATTGGTTAATTTATCCCTTTGGAGCCCCACCCTGGCTCAAGGGGTTGGGGTAGGAATCCCAATTTTACAATTTTGTTGCCTCATCTACCAAGGATGATTCTGACCAAGTTTGAAAAAAATCCATCCATTGGTTCTTGAGAAGAAGTTGAAAATGTAAAAAGTTTACGCACGACGGACGACGACGGACGGAAAGTGATCGGAATAGGTCACTTGAGCAAAGCTCAGGTGGCCTAAAAAGACAGAAAAATTGAATATTCTGTTATCCAACTTTATTTTATGCATCTAATGAAAGGTTTATAGAGGAAACTAAGCAGTCCTTATTCATTTCCTTTGCCAATGCAAAATGAAAGAATATGATAATAGAAAACTGTATATAAATGAAAGAATGAAATTGAGGTCACAAATACGTTCATAAAGGGGAAGTTGCTTGGTGCAACGAAAAAATACAAATATGCTTTCAAATCATTTAGATGCAGATATTGATGTGTCTATTTGAAAAACCAAAACACAAACACCAAAATATCACAAAAGTAAACAAATCACATTTGACAAGGACACACATATACACTACGTTCCTGTGCTAACAGTGCTGCCTTAATGTCATGCAGAGTCTATAAATCCCTACAGCACTAGAGTATATGTTGGTGGTGGTCGGACTGCGTACCTTTGTACATGGAATGCTACAGGAACTGATTGTTATGGTATTTTTAGCAAACATGTCCTATATTAAGAAAATTCATTACAGTCTTTAACTCTGGGCGTTGTTTGAGTAGCCTTGACAAGAATTTCACTTATTGTGTCTTCAAGGCATTTTTTGTGTTGTGACTGAAAGCATTGACTGTTATTTTAAAATAAACTTTTAGTCTCAGTAACTGAATCTATCTTATATCAAATTATCTTCACCACTCCTATTCAAATCCTCCATTAAGGAAATCAAATTTGTAGAAAACATGTAAATTAGCCAGTACTATAATATCTGCATTACAAAATGTTCAACGATGTTGAATTATAGGATGTAGGAAATTATTTGAAAAAAAAATGTGTATTTCATCAACGTGCCTGATCCAATTCCTGCCAGAGAAGATATCAGTGCCAGTGGATAGGAACAGGTGTTCTTTGACAAGAACTAATTATGAACCAATACATTAGCCTGTCTCATATCTCATATTCTCTTATATTCTACATAAAATCTGAACACTTATTTTTGTCCTCAATTTTGAAATAAGCAGGTTTAATGAAAAGAATTATCTTCCACCCATTTTTAATTTCTGAATATATTATTAGTATTTCCCATTGCGATTAATAATAAGATATCTCTGAACTTATTTTCGGAAAATTCCACTTTTTATATTAGACAGGAGATTATTATAAGCCTAAATCACTGTTCACCAGCTGTTAGGTTTGTTCTATATATAAACCATTAGGGAAATGTCAAGAATGCTATAGTTACTTTTGGAGCTATTTATACCAGTAATGTTCCACAATAAAACTCATTATAGCATTTTACTGTTCTGAAACGACTTTTGGAATGCCTAAGTTGAAAACAGTATTATTAAGTTTAGTTATGAATTAATCATTATCATTACTATGATAAGAAGCAAACCAAAACCAGGTACACAGAGTGCTGATTTAGACTTCAGTTATTATATCAGTGTTAGATGCACCCAACTGCACGGTCGTCACTTTTAGAAGACAACCCTAAGACTAAGTCATGTATACCTATTTAAATTTTTACGATTTATAATTTTAAATAATAAAGGACAATCTACATAATTGAATCTAGAGTAAAACCTAGTAACTGTCGACTGTACAGGCGTCCCTTAGCATCTGAAATCTTCCTTTTCCAAAATCTTTCATATCTGGAAATGCATTACTGTACAAAATACTTGTAATATGCCAAAAGCAAATAAACTCACCTCCATCAAATTAGATCTGGATAATAGCTATCATTGTTGATGCCAGTTGTAGGAAATATTCTATAAGATTTCCTTTATCATATCATACATTAATAGGTGATTTTTTTCGTTATTAAGAATTTTAATTTTTGTATTTCCAGAATGGGAGGCTTTACTGTGTTGTGTAACGTGTGGGAATTGTGTGTTCTAAGTCTGAGATGTAACATTAAAATAAATAAATATTTCAAAACAAGGATATAAAAAAGAACAAATATAAAGAAGGTGAAAATAAATAGAGCATAGACAGAATTAAATAGGTCTTGGCACAGATATGATGGATTTCATTGGCTGGTTATTGAATTAATACTAATTGAAAAAAGGCCCACAACTAAGACTATGAATGATGAAAGCAAACACAATCAATCTCTTCCAAAACAAAATGGTTTTATAAGTAAATAAAAACTTTCTCACAAACTCAAGCAATGCTATCATGATGCTTCAACACAAGGAATTTAAGGCAAGCAACGAAATGTACGTACCTGTTTTCCGTAATGGAAAATCATCTTCATATTTTCCTAATAAATGAGGGCCATAAGGGGGAGACAATCCTGTTTGTGGAGGAGAACTTTGATCAGCCCTAACAAAGAAAAATTAAAAAGAATGCTTATAATCATTTTCATCAGAATGTTCAAATATTTAAGCCCACCTGTTTTAACTTTCCTTTTCATTGATTAATGCCCCTAGTACATGTATCTAGTCTGTATAAGATTGAATTATAAACATACCAGCAATGTCATAATGACATCATTGGTGAATAACTAGGGTTTTATCTTCATGGGTGGTGATGGGGGGGGGGGGGGGTTCGCCTGATGGATCGAAGTGGTTTGGGGTCAACTAATGGGTGGAAGTGGTTGGGGGGTCATCTAATGGGTGGAAATGGTTGAGAGGTCACCAACTGGGTGGAAGTGGTGGAGGGGGGGTCACCTAATGGGTGGTAGTGGTTGGTGGGGTCGCCTCATGGGTTGAAGTGGGGGGAGGGTAGCCTAATGGCTGGAAGTGGTTGGGGGGGGGCACCTAATTGGTGGAAATGGTTAGAAGGAGTCAGATAATGGGTGGAAGGCCCTATGGATGGAAGTGTTAGGGGTTTGTCACTTAATGGATGGAAGTGGTAAGAAAGGGTCACCTAATGGGTGGAAGGCCCTATGGATGGAAGTGTTAGGGGGTTGTCACTTAATGGATGGAAGTGGTAAGAAAGGGTCCCCTAATGGGTGGAAGTTGTTGGAGATTAGAAGGTCACCTATAGGTGGAAGTGGTTGGGTGGTCACCTTATGGGTGAATATGGTAGGAGGGAGGTCACCTAATGAGTGGAAATGGTTTGCGGGGAGGGGGTCAACTAAATGGTGGAAGTTGTTGGGGGTCACCTAATTGTTGGAAGTGGTTGGTGACGTCGCCTTATGGGTCGAAGTGGTTTGGGGTTGTCACTTAATGGATGGAAGTGGTTTGAAAGGGTCACCTTATGGGTGGAATTGGTTTTGGGGATACATAATGTGTGGAAGTGGTTGGGAGGGTGATCTTATGTGTGGAAGTGGTTGGGGGGAGGGGAGTGGTTACCTAATAGGTGAAAAATGGTAGGGGGGTCACTAATTGGTGGTGGTGGTTGAGGGGGTCGCCTTATGTGTGGAAGTGGGTGGGTGGGGNNGGGGGGTCACCTAATTGGTGGAAGTGGTTGGGGGTCACCTAATGGGTGGACCTGGTTGAAGGGTTTGCCTTATGGGTGGAAATAGTAAGAGGGAGGTCACCTAATGAGTGGAAGTGGTTTTTGGGGTGGGGGTGGGGAGTGCCTAATGGGTGGAAGTGGTTGGATGGTCACCTAATGGACGGACGTGGTTGAATGGTCACCTAATTGTTGTTAGTGGTTGGGGGGGGGGGGGGGCACCTAATTGGTGGAAGTGGTTAGGGGTCACCTAATTGTTGGAAGTGGTTGGTGGCGTCGCCTTATGGGTGGAAGTGGATGGGGGTTGTCACTTAATGGATGGGAGTGGTTGGAAGGGGTTACCTAATGGATGGAAGTGGTTGGGGGTTGCCTTATGATTGGAAGTGGTTAGGGGGGTTGCTTAATAGGTGGAAGTGGTTGGATTGTCACCTAATGGATGGAAGGGGTTGGAAGGGGTTACCTAATGGATGGAAGTGGTTGGGGGTTGCCTAATGGATGGAAATGGTAGGGGGGTCACGCAAGTCACGAAGTGTTTCACCTAATGGGTGGTAGTGGTTTGGGGGTCACCTTTTAGGTGGAAGTGGTTTGGGGGTTACCTAAAGGATGGAAGTGGTTTGGGGGTCACCTAATGGGTGGAAGTGGTTGGGGGGTCACCTAATGATTGGAAATTGTCGGGGGATCACGTAATGGATGGAAGTTGTTGGGGGGAGTCAACTTATTGGTTGGGGGTGTCACCTAATGGATGAAATTGTTGGGGGGTGGGGGGGGTCACCAAATGGGTGGAAATGGTCGTAGAGGGGATGTATCATGCCACCTTATGGTAAGTAGTGTGTGTGTGGCATCTGTACCAATTTCTACACACAAAAATTACGTCTCTTAAGCTTTTCCTATTACAAGAGGCCCAATGGGTCTGCATCGCTCACCTGGTATAAATCTCACACTTGTAACCTTCAAAGTAGTTTAAAATAAAAATATCAGTATCTATGACTTTCATGCCTGTTAAAAGATTAAAACAGATTTTAAACCTCGGTTACCTTGAAAGCCTAACAAGGGTATTATGTTTAACAAACTTCTTAACCCCTCATCTCAGCATGCAAATTGCCAAATATAACCACCATAAACCTTTTATATATTGAGATTAGGTCATTTGAAGGTTTATACACATATGACCATTTGTGACCTTGAAAGTGGGTCAAGGTGATTTATTAGGATTATTATTGTATTTTTTTTCTTAGTATGTAACTGGCCGCATACCAGTATTCTAGGTATTTTGTTTTTCAGAAGAAGTTGTTCAAAAATTTTAACATATTTAACCCATGTGACCTTGAATAAGAGTGAAGGTCATTCATTTGAACAAACTTGTTAGCCCTTTATCCAAACATGCTACTGGCCAAATATCATCAACCTAGGCCTCCTGTTTATTCAGAAGAAGTTGTTTAAAGTAAAAGGTTGACACCTGATGGACAGACAATAGACGGACGGACAATGCACCACGACACTAGCATACTTCAGGCCAAGTGAGCCAAAAAATAAACATCTAAAAGTCACACAGTTAGATTATAAAGTTTCATTGTAATTTCATTGAAAGATTTTTCGTTACTAATTAAAATCATCATCACATACCCTGTTTTCTTATTTAAGTAGCATTAATGCGGACCCTGGTGAATGACTATGGCACCGCCTACTTACCAATGACGATATTGTGGAGGAGAATTCCTTGCAGCAGCTTCTCTCTGTTTTTTTGTTAAGACAAATTCTTGAAGTCTTTGTTTGACTTCTGAAGATGCTATTGCACCTAAAAAAGTAAGGATACATATTATTTCCTTGAAAATTAAAACTAGCTTAATGATCTCTACCACTGACAAAAAGTGTAACTTTGCATAGGAACTTGGGTTTTCTTCCAGCATGACAATAGCTTTGATACAATATTTCTGAATAGTAACCCATACCTTGCTGAATTTTTGTGAAAAATTAAATTTGGATGAATAAACAAAATATTTTCAACAACAGTGTTCTGACGGTAAAAAAAAGCAGGGCTAGATCAGAATTTGATCCCTAAACTTCAGATGGTTATACTTTCATTGTGACAGACTGAGCCACCTTATCAACAATAGTGTCTTTGCCTGAATACAGTTATATATCAAAAACAAAACAAATGGGAGGTTACTGTATTTATATTATGTATACTACAGTGCAGTTACTCTCTCTATATATACTTTATAAATACAGTGCAGTTACTCTATATATATATACTTTATAAACTACAGTGCAGATACTCTATATATATATAATTTATATATAAACTACAGCGCAGTTTCTCTCTATATATATATACTCTATAAAATACATAGCAGTTACTCTCTCTATATATATTATAAACTACAGTGCAGTTACTCTATATCTATATACTGTATAAACTACAGTGCAGTTACTGTATATATATATACTGTATAAACTACAGCGCAGTTACTCTATATATATATACTGTATAAACTACAGTGCAGTTACTGTATATATATATACTGTATAAACTACAGCGCAGTTACTCTATATATATATACTGTATAAACTACAGCGCAGTTACTCTATATATATATACTGTATAAACTACAGCGCAGTTACTCTATATATATATACTGTATAAACTACAGTGCAGTTACTGTATATATATATACTGTATAAACTACAGTGCAGTTACTCTATATATATATTATAAACTACAGTGCAGTTTCTCTCTCTATATATATTATAAACTACAGTGAAGTTACTCTCTCTATATATATTATAAAGTACAGTGCAGTTACTCTCTCTATATATACTTTATAAATACAGTGCAGTTACTCTATATATATATGCTTTATAAACTACAGTGCAGTTCCTCTCTCTATATATATTATAACCTACAGTGCAGTTACTCTCTCTATATATATTATAAAGTACAGTGCAGTTACTCTCTCTATATATACTTTATAAATACAGTGCAGTTTCTCTATATATATATACTTTATAAACTACAGTGCAGTTTCTCTCTCTATATATATTATAAACTACAGTGCAGTCACTCTATATATATATACTATATATATATATACTTTATAAACTACAGTGCAGTTACTCTCTATATATATACTGTATAAACTACAGTGCAGTTACTCTATATATATATACTTTATATATAAACTACAGTGCAGTTTCTCTCTATATATATATACTCTATAAACTACATAGCAGTTACTCTCTCTATATATATTATAAACTACAGTGCAGTCACTCTATATATATATACTATATAAACTATAGTGCAGCTACTATACATATATACTATATAAACTACAGTGCAGTTACTACATAATTACTAAACATATATACTATATAAACTATAGTGCAGTTACTATATATATATACTAAATAAACTACAGTGCAATTACTATAAACATATACTATATAAACTACAGTGGAGTTACTTTATATATATACTATATAAACTACAGTGGAGTTACTATATATATATATATATATACACACTATAAACTAAAGTGCAACTACTATATAAATAAACTACAGTGCAGTTACCATATATATTATATAAACTACATTGCAGTTACTATAAATACATACTATATACATGAGGCCCAGTACTTGAGATATAGCGAGATTTTTTTCAAAAAGAGCCCCACCCCTATGCCCTTAGGGGGGTCATACCCATCATTTATACATAATTGGTTCCCCTTCACCAAAGGATGCTTTATGCCAAATTTGGACAAAATCCTGTCATTCCTAAAGAAGAAGAAGGATTTTGAAGAATTTGCTATGTTTCCCGTATTGGGCCCCTCCCTTCTGCCCAAAGAGGGGCCACACTCACTGTTTATACGAAATTGAGTCCCTTTTGCCCAAGGATGCTCCAGACTAAATTAGGATAAAATTCCTTAATCCATATGGTAGAAGAAGGATTTTAAAGGGTTTTACCTCTATTTCCCCTATTAGGCCCCATCCCTCAGGTCCAAGTGGGGCCACACCCACTGTTTATACAAAATTGATTCCCCATTACCAAAGGATGCTCCACACAAAATATGAACCAAATCCTTTCACTCCTACAGAAGAAGAAGAATTTTAAAGAATAATTTGCTATGTTTCCCCTATAGGGCCCCACCCCTCAGGCTCCTGGGGGGGGNTGCTATTTTTCCCCAATAGGACCCCACCCCTCAGGCTCCTGGGGGCCAGACCCAAGGTTTATACAAAATTGGTCCCCTTTACCCAAGGATGCTTCAGACCAAATATTGAACAAATCCTTTCATTCCTACAGAAGAAGAAGGATTTTAAAGAATAATTTGCTATATTTCCCCTATTGGGCCCCGTCCCTCAGGCCCCAGGGGAGCCAGACCCACCATTTATACAAGATTGAGTCCCCTTGGCCCAAGGATGCTCCACACCAAAAATGGACCAAATCCTTTTATTCCTACAGAAGAAGAAGGATTTTTAAGAATATTTTGCTATGTTTCCCCTATTGGGCCCTACCCCTCAGGCCCCCTGGGGGCCAGACCCATGGTTTATACAAAATTTGTTCCCCTTTACCCAAGGATGCTTCAGTCCAAATATGGACCAAATCCTTTCATTCCTACAGAAAAAGAAGGATTTTAAAGAATTTGCTATATTTTCGTTATTGGGCCCCGCACCTCAAGCCCCTGTGAGGGCCAGACCCACAGTTTATACAAAATTGAGTCCCCTTGGCCCTTGGCCCAAGGATGCTCCAGACTAAATTAGGATAAAATCCCTTAATCCCTATCCATTAAAACCTCTGTTTCCCCTATAGGGCCCACCCCTCTGCCCCCAGGGGGGCCACACCCACCATTTATACAAAATTGAGTCCCCTTGGTCTAAGGATGCTCCAGACCAAATTTAGCCAAAATCTACTTGGCCGTTCAGGTCTAGTAGCGTTTTAAAGGAAAAGTTGACGGACGGACGGAAGCTGTGGTATGGCATAAGCTCTACATGGTCCTTTGGACCAGGTGAGCTAAAAATACAGTGCCGTTTCTATAAATATATACTATATAAACTACAGTGCAGTGGGTAAGGGATCTTTAAATGTCAGCTATGACACTGTATTGCCTCTTAAGATGATTTGTCCAAATAGATTCCTCAAGGCTCTGTAAAATCCTTTTAAACAAATTACAACCTGTTTCACTTACAGGCCCATGGGGTGCCTACAGTTTCAACAGAAGAAAATTTGAGGGGAACAAATGAACTATTAATTGAGACTAATAAAACATTTGCAACTGCCTGGCCAGAATGAATTGAACAACAATCAAACTAAATTGCTTTCAAAAACATTTCAAGATTTGAAATTAAAATATTGTAGTAAATCTCTTTGTTCTTACTTTCTTCATTTTTGTTTTTATTTTTGATCTGTTCCAGTCTTTCCTTTTCCAACAGTTCTTTCTCCAGCCTGTGCTGTTCTTCTAGCTTCTTCTGTTGTTCAATGAATTCTTGTTGCTTCTGGAGCAACACCAGATGCTGAAATAAGAAAATAGTAGGGTATCAATATTTTGAAACAAACAAAATTTAATATGACATTACCAATATCATAGGTCATGTTATATTATTTTTCTGTTTGGTTAACATCCTGCAGTGTGACATCAACCTGACAAGTTAAATCACTGGAAGAGAAAAGATATATTGATAATGGGTAAAAAATCTAACCTGCTAAAACATCATTGATATTAATCCAATCTTTTGAGATTGTTCTCAATTCAACCATGTTGGCAGAGCAACTTTGATTTTATTGGTCAACAACCAGGATTTTTAGCCCTGAAAATTGCCCCAATTGAACCCATAGTCCTGTCCCCTTCTGACCCTACCATCATGTCCCTTTCAGACCCAACATCCTGTCCCTGTAGGATCCAACAGTCCTGTCCCTGTAGGACCCAATGGGCCTGTCCCTGTAAAACGCCACAGTCCTGTCCCAGTAGGACCCCACAGTCCTGTCCATGTAGGACCCATCAGTCATATCCTTGTAGGATCCAATGGTCCTGTCCCTATAGGAACCCATAGTCCTGTCCCAGTAGGACCCCACAGTCCTGTCCCAGTGGGACCCCACAGTCCTGTTCCAGTAGGATCCCACATTCTGTCTCTTTCAGACCCTATTGTCCTGTCCCTTTCAGACCCTATTGCCATATAGGACCCCATGGTCCTGTCTCTGTATGACCCCCATGGTACTGTCTCTGTAGGAACCCATGATCCTGTCATTGTAGGACCCCATGGTCCTGTCCCTGTAGGACCCTTGATCCTGTTCCTGAAGGACCAATGGCCTGTCTCTGTAGGACCACCATGGTACTGTCCCATTAGGAGCCCCATGAAACTTTCCCTGTAGGACCCATGATCCTGTCCCTGTAGGAGCCATGGTCCTGTCATTGTAGGACCCCATGGTCCTGTCCCTGTAGGACTAATGATCCTGTCTCAGTGGGACCCCATGGTCCTGTACCACTATGACCTTATGGTACTGTCCCCGTAGGACCCCATGGTACGGTCCCTGTAGGACCTCCTGGTCATGTCACTGTAGGAACCCATGGTCCTGTCCCACTAGGACCAATGATCCTGTCTCTGTAAGAACCCATGGTACTGTCCCTGATGCACTCATGATCCTGTCCCTGTAGGACCTCATGATCCAGTCCCTGTATGACTCACGTTCTTGACCCTGTAGAACCCCTGATCCTGTCTCTTTAGGTCCCCCATGGTCCTGTCCCAGTAGGACCCCCATGGTACTGTCCCTGTAGGAACCCATGGTCCTAACTCGGTAGGGCCAATGGTACTGTCCCTGATGCACCCATGATCCTATCCCTGTAGGACCATATGGTCCTGTTGCTGTAGGACCCAATGGTAATGTCCATGTAGGACCCCATGGTCCTGTCCCTGTAGGACCTGTATAACCCCATGGTACTGTCCTTGTAGGACCCCCAAGGTCCTGTCCTTGTAGGACCCAATTGTCTTGACCATGTAAACCCCGTATGTTCCTGTCCCTGCAGAAGGACACCATGGCCCTGGCCCTGTTGAGCCATATACATTCAATGCTATGGCTCTTTGCCTAGTGTTCCTTTATATCAAATTAGGTTTATATCTCTTCATACCAAAAAAGTCTTTGACACTATTTCCCATGTTCGGGCCTGTCCTCAGCCCCCATAGGGCCCCATCTTTTGTTTGTTCAACATGAGACCCAGAGGGCCTGTATTGCTCACCTGGATAATAAAGCAACCATGGAAATTTGTATCTACTGCCTTGAAATGGAGTGGATTAACCTAAATTTCCCTAATTGGGCCTAGCCCCTCTGCACCCTAAAAGCAAACCTCCATTTTACCCTTGCCAAAGGATGCTCTGGATCAAAAGGAGAAAGATTTTGAAGATTTAAACCGCAAATATTAGGCCCCTGTCCCTCTACACCTAGAGGGGCCACACCCTCCATTTATACAAAATTAAGTCCCCTTTGCCAAAGGATACTCCAGGTCAAATTTGGATAAAATTCGTCCATTGGTACAAAAGGAGGGATTTTGAAGATCAAAACTAAAATTCCCCTATTGGGCCCTCACTGCCTCCCTGCTCCCAGAGGGGCCACACCCTCCATTTATACAAAGTTGAGTCCCCTTTGTCCAAGGATGCACTAGGCCTGTCCCTACAACCCCTGGGGCAGGGCAAAATGTTATTTTTTCATTTCATCCAATTCACCTCTGATCACAATTATCCCAACCAAGTGTGAGTGATTCCCTGTTGAAAATGGACAAACTTTACCCAAACATGTTACTGTATAAACTATAGATTACTTAACCCCGTCCCCAAGAGAAAATGGATGATGGGGGTACTGAAATTTACGATTTAAAAAAAGCTCCTGATGACCTTTCTATCCATAAAAAACATTATATTCTAGTAATGTATGGTTATGGGGTGGGGATCTCAACTGTTTCCAAGCTGTGACTCAGAAATTAGGTCCCTATAGGGTTGTGGCCAGACCCCAGGATCAATTCGAATATCATGACTGCAATCGTCTCTTTTTGTCTAGCATTTGTATTTATAGTCATGGGGTGGGGATCTCAACCGTTTCTAAGTTATGACCCAGGGGTTAAGTCTGCAAGGGTGGGGCAGACCCTGGTGTCAATTTTAATATCATGACTGCATTCGTCTCTGTATGCCCAATAATTGTATATATAGTTTTGGGGTGGGGATCTTAGCCATTTGGAAGTTATGACCCAGGGGTTAAGTCTCCAATTTTGGTGCAGACCCCAAGGCCATCCTGGAAGCATATGTGCATTCATCTCTTTATACTTAGCAATTGTATATATGCATGGTTATAGGGAGGCGATCTCAACTGTTTCCAAGCTGTGACTAAGAAACTAGGTCCCTAGGGGTTCGGTCAGACCTCAGGGTCTATTCTAATACCATGATTACTTTTGTCTCTTTATGCCAAGCATTTGTATATATAGTTCTGGGGTGGGGATCTCAACCGTTTCAAAGTTATGACCGGGGACTATGTCTCAAAGGATGGGGCCAGACCCTAGGCCATCCTGGAAGCAAATGTGCATGCTTCTCTTTATACTCCACAATTGTATATATGGTTATATTGTGGGGATCTCAACCATTTCCAAGTAATAAACTTTTTTTAGACCCACCCCTTAGCACGTTGGGGGTAGGGGTGTGGGGGTTGGCCCCCACCATTTGTACAATTTTGAATCCCTGCCTCCCATGAATGCTTCTGACCAAATATGATCGATATCCATGGTATAATTCTACAGAAAAAGTCGTTTATACCAATATATATAGCCAAATTGCTTCCAGTCAAATATGGTTGAAATCCAGTGCATACTTCTACAGAAGAAGTCTTTTGTAGCAATATAGCCATATAGCCCACTTTTGGCACCGCCCCTCAGCCCCCTGGGGGGTCAGCCAAACCATTTGTACAATTTTGAATCTCCACTACCGAGCGATGCTTCAGACCAAATATGGTTGATATCCATCTCTTAGTTCCAGAGAAGAAGTCGCTTAAATTAATATAACCAAATTTCCCCCTTTTGGCCCTGCCCTTCAGGCCCCTGGGGGACCAGACCAACGGTTTATACAAAATTGGTTCCATTTCACTGAAGAATGCTTCAGACCAAATAAAGAACAAATCGTTCCATTCCTACAGAAGAAGAAGGATTTTAAAGAATTTGATATGTTTCCCCTATAAGCCTCTGCCCTTGAGGCCCCTATGGGGCCAGACCCACGGTTTAAACAAAATTAGTTCCCCTTTACCCAAGGATGCTTCAGACCAAATATGGACCAAATCCTTTCATTCCTACTGAAGAAGAAGGATTTGAAAGAATTTGCTATATTTCTCCTACTGGGCCCCGCCCCTCAGGGGCCAGACCCCCGGTTTATACAAAATTGGTTCCCTTTTACCCAAGGATGCTTCAGACTAAATATGGAACAAATCCTTTCATTCCTACAGAAGAAGAAGGATTTAATAGAATTTACTATGTGTTCCCTATTGGGCCCCACCTCTCAGGCCCCTTTGGGGCCAGACCCTCTGTTTAAACAAAATTGGTTCCCCTTTACCCAAGGATGCCTCAAACTAAATATGGAACAAATTTTTTCATTCGTACAGAAGAAGAAGGATTTTAAAGAATTTACTATGTGTTCCCTATTTGGCCATGACCATCAGGCCCCTCGGGGGCCAAACCCACGGTTTATACAAAATTGGTTCCCCTTCACCCAAGGATGTTTCAGACTTAATATGGAACAAATCCTTTCATTCCTACAGAAGAAGAAGGATTTTGCTATATTTCTCCTATTGGGCCCCGCCCCTCAGGCCTATCAGGGGCCAGACCCACCATTTATACAAAATGTGTTCCCCTTCCCCTAAGGATGTTTCTGACCAAATTTGGTCAAAATCTGCTCAGTCGTTTATGACTAGTAGCGATTTATAGGAAAAGTTGATGGACGCTGGATGCGGGATGCCGCGCCATTGCATGAGCTCACTTACCCTTGGGGCAGGTGAGCTAAAAATGTAAAAAGTTTACAGACATCAGACGTAGGATGATCGCAATAGCAAAGAAGGTTGTTGCTTTTTTCCAACCTGTACAACTAATGTGAGCAACATCATTCTCTAAAATATTCATTCATTTTGAATAAGGATTGAACAAAACTTCAACATAATGTTACATATACTCAAAGATGCTTCATTCTTAAGAATAACCACTAGCTACACTATTGTGGAAAGACATTGCCTTTTGATCAAGGCTTTTAAATAAAGGGCAAATCTTTTGTTAATCACTATTCATTTATAATTGCCAAAGTTGAACATGCTAACATACCAAATCAATTATAACTGCTATCTATAAATATCCATGTGTTTGATCCCCTTAATGCCACCGGTAGAAAACAAATGGATCGACCAAGAATATTCCTTGGTCATAAAGTGTTCGTGAACTGCTACATTCCATTATATCAAGAACGCAGCCTTACATCAATCTAAGTTAATGAGAGATTCCAGCAAAACATCTTTTGAAAATCAATCTTATCTTGTATTTACATCCAATCCTGATATTCTAAATGCGGCTGTGTATTGCTAAAAATGGCTTCCACACTCGGCTTTGTACTCTTGTAAATAATAAGTGAAGAGCTGACTGACCAATGACAGTCTTCACAACTCAAGCCCACACATTCTATTTTTAGCAGCTAAGTAAAGATATTGAAATCTCTGTGAAAAGCACTTTGTCATTCAAGCAGTCTTTCATCTTCTGAAGTCTTATTTCCATGGCGGTGAGACTATATAGCCTTTCAGGACTCACAACCAAGAGACCAATTAATTATCTGTCAGCATATGCAGTCTATACACTAAGAACAAAACATTTTAGAAATGTAAAGTAGAACCTGCCTTTAGAGAACATCTGAAAAAAAACACAGTCTCTCAATACAGGTGGAATACTAATTGAGTCTATCATATGTATACTTAGATACTAATCAAGTCTATCATACATATACTTAGAAGATACTAATCAAGTCTATCATACGTATACTTAGATACTAATTGACTCTATGATTCGTATACTTAGATACTAATCAAGTCTATCATACATATACTTAGATACTAATCAAGTCTATCAAACGTATACTTAGATACTAATCAAGTCTATCATACGTATACTTAGATACTAATCAAGTCTATCATACATATACTTAGATACTAATCAAGTCTATCATACGTATACTTAGATACTAATCAAGTCTATCATACATATACTTAGATACTAATCAAGTCTATCATACGTATACTTAGATACTAATCAAGTCTATCATACATATACTTAGATACTAATCAAGTCTATCATACGTATACTTAGATACTAATCAAGTCTATCATACATATACTTAGATACTAATCAAGTCTATCATACGTATACTTAGATACTAATCAAGTCTATCATACATATACTTAGATACTAATCAAGTCTATCATACGTATACTTAGATACTAATCAAGTCTATCATACATATACTTAGATACTAATCAAGTCTATCATACGTATACTTAGATACTAATCAAGTCTATCATACATATACTTAGATACTAATCAAGTCTATCATACGTATACTTAGATACTAATCAAGTCTATCATACATATACTTAGATACTAATCAAGTCTATCATACGTATACTTAGATACTAATCAAGTCTATCATACATATACTTAGATACTAATCAAGTCTATCATACGTATACTTAGATACTAATCAAGTCTATCATACATATACTTAGATACTAATCAAGTCTATCATACGTATACTTAGATACTAATCAAGTCTATCATACATATACTTAGATACTAATCAAGTCTATCATACGTATACTTAGATACTAATCAAGTCTATCATACATATACTTAGATACTAATCAAGTCTATCATACGTATACTTAGATACTAATCAAGTCTATCATACATATACTTAGATACTAATCAAGTCTATCATACGTATACTTAGATACTAATCAAGTCTATCATACATATACTTAGATACTAATCAAGTCTATCATACGTATACTTAGATACTAATCAAGTCTATCATACATATACTTAGATACTAATCAAGTCTATCATACGTATACTTAGATACTAATCAAGTCTATCATACATATACTTAGATACTAATCAAGTCTATCATACGTATACTTAGATACTAATCGAGTCTATCATACGTATACTTAGATACTAATCAAGTCTATCATACGTATACTTAGATACGAATCATGTCTGTTTCACGCCTACTTAGATACTAATCGAGTCTATCATACGTATACTTAGATACTAATCAAGTCTATCATACGTATATTTAGATACGAATCGAGTCTGTTTCACGCATACTTAGGGATGTGGGATATAGATATTCTACCCGAGGGTGTAGAGTTAAGGGATGTGGGATATAGATATTCTACCCGAGGGTGTAGAGTTAAGGGATGTGGGATATAGATATTCTACCCGAGGGTGTAGAGTTAAGGGATGTGGGATATAGATATTCTACCCGAGGGTGTAGAGTTAAGGGATGTGGGATATAGATATTCTACCCGAGGGTGTAGAGTTAAGGGATGTGGGATATAGATATTCTACCCGAGGGTGTAGAGTTAAGGGATGTGGGATATAGATATTCTACCCGAGGGTGTAGAGTTAAGGGATGTGGGATATAGATATTCTACCCGAGGGTGTAGAGTTAAGGGATGTGGGATATAGATATTCTACCCGAGGGTGTAGAGTTAAGGGATGTGGGATATAGATATTCTACCCGAGGGTGTAGAGTTAAGGGATGTGGGATATAGATATTCTACCCGAGGGTGTAGAGTTAAGGGATGTGGGATAAAGATATTCTACCCGAGGGTGTAGAGTTAAGGGATGTGGGATATAGATATTCTACCCGAGGGTGTAGAGTTAAGGTCAGAACTGAGGCTTTGTCAAGGTAAGAACCAAATCCTATACTTGCGGGTAAAATATCCTTATCCTACATATGTACCTACATGATGACCAACTCTTTTTCTCCAAAAATATCAGTGTTTGTGACTTTAAGTCATTCAAAAGAACATGTTAAAAAGATTTAAACACATTTGACCCCTGAGACTTTAAAAGTCAAACTAGGACCTTAAATCTAAAAAGGATTATAGCCCTGCATCCCAGCATCAACTATCAAATATAACCACCCTAGACATTTGTTTACTAAGATGAGTGTCAAGGTCATTCACATGAACAAACTTGATAACACTTCACACCTGAGAATGCTTCTAGGCAAACATCACCATCCTATGCAACTTGGTTATTCAGAAGAAGTTTTAACATATTTTACCCCAATAACCTAGCTAAAATATGGGTAAAAGTCATTCATTTGTACAAAATAGGTAGCTCTTTATCCCTTCCTGCTACTCATGGCCAAATATCTTCACCCTAAGCCATTTTGGTTATTCAGAAGAAGTCGTTTTAATGTTTTTAATATATTGACCCCTTCGATTAAAATCAATTTGAACAAATTTGGTAGTCCTTCATCCGAGTATGCTACTGGCCAAGTATCATTTTGGGCCTTTTGGTCATTCATCATAAGTTGTTTAATATCTTTTTAAAGACAACAGACCTCTGTGACCTTGAAAATAAATCAAGGTCATTCATTTGAATAAAATTGGTAGCCCTTCATCCCAGCATGTTACTGGCCAAATATCATTACATTGGTCATTTGGGTTATTTGGAAGAAGATGTTCAAATAATATATTAAGAAAATTGACACCTGTGACCTTGAATACGGATGAAGGTCATTCATTTGAACAAACTTGGTAGTCCAATAGCATCATATTGGGCTTTCTGGTTATCGAGAGGTTGTTTAAAGATTTCAACATGTTTGACCAAGTCTAGCTGAGACCTTGAATATGAAGGCCATTCCTTTGATTAAGCAGCCCTTCAACCCAAAATGTTAATGGCTAAATATCATTACCCTTTTGGTTATTCAGAAATGTCCTTTAAATTGATTACCTTCCATGCTGACCTTGACCTTTACAACAATCTTGTAATACCCTGCCAACCTTATGCTTTTAAAATTGAATTCAGATAAAAATATGTATGAGCCAGTTTATTCCATCTTGACTTTAACCCTTTGCATTTGACCTTGTCCCTCCACAATGTCCTTGAGATACATGTTTGACCTTGTACATACCATGTTAACCTTGATGTGCTCCTGAAGCTGCTGTTCATGTTCCTGTGCTAGCTGTTGCTGCTGCTGTTGGAACTGTTGCAGTAGAAGCTGTTGCTGCAGGTCTTGTTGTTGCTTCAGCGATGCGATTTGTTGCTGTAACTGATGGTCTGCAAAATAATTTGACTGTGGTGGGCGACGACTCAGCACTGGAGAAGCTAGCGGAGATGGATTGATTTCTGAAAAAACCCACGTTTAAGATAATAGTTATTTTCTCAACAAAAAACCTCTTCACATAAGAATTATTTTGCTATTGAATGAGAAATTTAATATCAACATTGTCATTTTGCCAGAATTCCTCTTTGGCCAACCCATGGTGTTTCTTACACAAATTAATTTCAATATCATTATTATTCTAACCAAGTTTGAAATATTTCCTATATTGTATAAACTACAATAAATTGAACACCTAGGACAAGGGAAGTAAAACCAACAGTTTAACTAATGCACCAATGGGTGTTTCCATCCATGAAAAGATCTTGAATCTATCACATCCAAGTGTGGAGAAGAGTTTTGAAATAGAAGCCATTTTCACGTTTTGGCCCTGGCTCTCTGACCCAATGGGTGGAGCAGGATATTACTTTGAATAATTTCTTGTTGAGAATAGACAAAATATACCCAAACTATTCTGGTACATTTATGTCCCTAGGAAAAAGATTTTTTGAAATGCATGACCTTATTTTTTCATATCATCTAATTGCCATCTCATCACAATTATTCAAACCAAGCCCCGCATGACTCTGGGGTACTGAAATTTACTATTTAGATTACCCTGGGGTAGTGAAATTTACTATTTAGATAAAGCCCTAATTCCATTAAAGCATCTACAGTTTAAAATAAATGCCTTGAGAACTTCAACAAACGCAATGGCTTGCAGTCGTACAGCGCACACTTTACTGTGTCGGCCCTGATCATGTACACAATTGGTGTCGGCCGCAATACACCAGTGAGTGGACAGACTGTTTTTCTGGGACTAATTTGCAGATTGTCTTTTATTTTTCAAGCTAGTACCCAATGAACAAGAGCTGTTGGAGAACGGCATAGCTCGCCTATTGGTGATTTATGTTGTAAAATAGCAAATATCAATAGAAATCAATGTACAGTAAAACCTTGATATAATGCCCGTCATGATGTGCTAGCTTTTAGGTCAAGTCATAGCTCCATATATCTCGGACCAAGGCTCACGCTGTTGGTAGCAAAAGTGAGCTAAAAACAAAAACAACCAATGGCTACTTTTGCTACCAACAGCGTGAGCCTTGGTCCATGATATACAGAGCTATGACTTGACCTAAAAGCTAGCACATCATGCCACATTTTTCCAGCAAAAACAAAAACATTGCATTCATCTGCAGCGAACAGTCCAGATAGGAAAATAGAGGCCTTTATTTGGAATAATATGGCAATTAATTGATATAGATATATATGTATGTGGCTTGAAACATTTACAAATATTTTAACATGTATGAGTTGTCGAATCATGCACCGTTCTATGATATTACTTTTCAGTGCAGCGGCCGGTATGGACAGCTTTCAAGCATGTGTAATGTTCTCAGAAATACCATTACAGTTCACGAAAATGTGGATTAGTACACATTCAACGAAACATTCAAGTCATGACACATGGTTTGAAACATGTACATGGAATGTAAATTTTACATTTCCTTATACGTGTATGCGTAATCTTAAGTTGACAATGCGCCCAAACAACAAGTCTCCGAAAAAGATACAATGTCGACACTGACCTCAAACATTCTATCGACCAATCAACGAGCCAGATGCAGTGAGTGACATGCTGAATCAACGTTCGGTTTGTGGGCGTGTTCTTTTTGAACACGGCTTGTTAACGCCGTGACGATTTTGATTGTAATCAGCTTATCTATTTTTTTATAGAAAACTATCAAATAAGACCTGTGCATTAAAACATGCTGTCCAATAAGGCCAACATGGGGTGTTCAGACTGATTCTCATATAAGATTGGTCTCACTGAACCAACTGATGAAGTTTACAGTTAATAAACAATTAAAGGTTTAGAAACACTTCTTTTTTTCAATTATTTACAGAAATTCTTAATTTTAACAATGGTGAACTATAGCAATGAATGGCTACTAAATAATAAAGCTTCAAACCCTAACTTAAATGAAATGAATGAAGATCGTGGGGCATCTCACTTTCTCAATGATAACTAGTACAGTCAGGGCTTTGGCTGCAGTTGACAATTCCTGAACTGTAACTGTATCCAAGATTGACAGCATAATATAAGTGACAGTATCAAGAGAAAATTTCAAAGACCATTTCTAATTTTGCTTAAATCAGAAAGTAATATATGGCATCACATGTAAAATGGAGCCTGTATTCACCAGATCCATTACTAGGTCCCATAGAAAACATGTCTAAGTAAATTTGTTTGTGTAAACTTACACCTGTATAAATGTAGCCAGCTAGGTCCTGTGGCACTTAGTTTTATGTAGGTAGAACCTGTGTAATGGTCCTCTGCATACTTACACCGGTATAAATGTAGCCAGCTAGGACCTGTGGTACTTAGTTTTATGTAGGTAGAACCTGTGTAATGGTCCTCTGCATACTTACACCTGTATAAATGTAGCCAGCTAGATCCTGTGGCACTTAGTTTTATGTAGGTAGAACCTGTGTAATGGTCCTCTGCATACTTACACCAGTATAAATGTAGCCAGCTAGGTCCTGTGGTACTTAGTTTTATGTAGATAGAACCTGTGTAATGGTCCTCTGGATACTTACACCGGTATAAATGTAGCCAGGTAGGTCCTGTGGTACTTAGTTTTATGTAGATATAACCTGTGTAATGGTCCTCTGCATACTTACACCGGTATAAATGTAGCCAGCTAGATCCTGTGGTACTTAGTTTTATGTAGATATAACCTGTGTAATGGTCCTCTGCATACTTACACCAGTATAAATGTAGCCAGCTAGGTCCTGTGGTACCTAGTTTTATGTAGGTAGAACCTGTGTAATGGTCCTCTGCATACTTACACCGGTATAAATGTAGCCAGCTAGGTCCTGTGGTACTTAGTTTTATGTAGGTAGAAACCTATGTAATGGTCCTCTGCATACATTTCTATTTAAAGGCTGTATAAACGAAATCCTCAACCAGATTTGAATGTTCATATTTTTATGTCAATTGTACCTATAACCTGAACTATCTGGAAACCTGTCTATTACAATTAGGAACATTTCTATACTTTAGACATCTGGCTCCACTATAAACACATTGGAACCACCTTATCTGACACCCTGTGGAACATAAAACTCATTAGTTACAATACAGGAACACACATCTGACTTGGTAGTTTTTATTATTATGCATTATTAGACATGTCAGAATAATCAGAGGTCAGATTACACAGGTTTTATTTTACATGTAATTTAATTATTTCGAAAACACATTAGTTACAATACAGGAACACACATCTGACTTGGTAGTTTTTATTATTATGCATTATTAGACATGTCAGAATAATCAGAGGTCAGATTACACAGGTTTTATTTTACATGTAATTTAATTATTTCGAAAGGTTGATATACTAAATATCCTTTATCAATTTAACATTTTTTTTTATTAAAATCAAGGAAAATCTTGTAATTCTTCATCAAGAACGACAGATATAGCTTTTCTTTCTAAGGTGAATCTATTTTTATTCATTGTATCATACATCTGCTTGTGCTATTTCAACAACTATGAATTACCGGTAGTTGTTAAACACATCAGCCGACTAACACATTTATTGTTAGCTTATTGATTATAAGGCCAAGAAAATCTTTTTTTCCCCTCTTTTGAATGTATTTGACTTTGAAAATAACAATTACAAATATTTTATATTAGAATAAGATTAACTTTTAGCTATAGAAAGTAGAACTATTTGAAACATATGTAATGTTTGTTTGGCCTTATACGTATATAACCAATAGGAAACATATGTTATGTTTGTTAGGCCTTATCCGTATATAAACAATAGGAAACATATGTTATGTTTGTTTGGCCTTATACGTATATAGACAATAGGAAACATATGTAATGTTTGGTTGGCCTTATACGTATATAAACAATACGAAGCATATGTAATGTTTGTTTGGCGTTATACGTATATAAACAATAGGAAACATATGTAATGTTTGGTTGGCCTTATACGTATATAAACAATAGGAAACATATGTTATGTTTGTTTGGCCTTATACGTATATAAGCAATAGGAAACATATGTAATGTTTGGTTGGCCTTATACGTATATAAACAATAGGAAGAATATGTAATGTTTGTTTGGCCTTATACATATATTAACATACATCTGCTTGTGCTATTTCAACAACTATGAATTACCGGTAGTTGTTAAACACATCAGCCGACTAACACATTTATTGTTAGCGTATTGATTATAAGGCCAAGAAAATCTTTTTTTCCCCTCTTTTGAATGTATTTGACTTTGAAAATAACAATTACAAATATTTTATATTAGAATAAGATTAACTTTTAGCTATAGAAAGTAGAACTATTTGAACCATATGTAATGTTTGTTTGGCCTTATACGAATATAAACAATAGGAAGCATATGTAATGTTTGTCTGGCCTTATACGTATATAAACAATACGAAGCATATGTAATGTTTGTTTGGCCATATACGTATATAAACAATAGGAAACATATGTTATGTTTGTTAGGCCTTATCCGTATATAAACAATAGGAAACATATGTTATGTTTGTTTGGCCTTATACGTATATAGACAATAGGAAACATATGTAATGTTTGGTTGGCCTTATACGTATATAAACAATACGAAGCATATGTAATGTTTGTTTGGCCGTATACGTATATAAACAATAGGAAGCATATGTAGTGTTTGTTTGGCCTTATACGTATATAACCAATAGGAAGCATATGTAATGTTTGTCTGGCCTTATACGTATATAAACAATACGAAGCATATGTAATGTTTGTTTGGCTTTATACGTATATAAACAATAGGAAACATATGTTATGTTTGTTAGGCCTTATCCGTATATAAACAATAGGAAACATATGTTATGTTTGTTTGGCCTTATACGTATATAGACAATAGGAAACATATGTAATGTTTGGTTGGCCTTATACGTATATAAACAATACGAAGCATATGTAATGTTTGTTTGGCTTTATACGTATATAAAC